GAAGAGCAAAGAAAGAGAGAGCGACAACCGCAAAGGTGGTGAGAAAATGAAAAGATACCGAATATAGGAAAAAAGCAGGACTACAGACTTATTATACTAACAGATGCAATGTTTCCTTATTCGACGTGGTACTTCAGAAATGAAACATTTCCGATAACCCTGTTTATGAAAGTTCTTAAATTTTTCGTTTGTCTCCAAATAACGTTTTAATCTTTCCTGCATTTTCTGAAGTCAATTTTCTCTTAACTGTATTTCCGACTGAAAAGAACATACGTTTTAGAGTTAAGTCTTTGACGTTCTTTGCAACTACGTTTTTTTCAAATCTGTTTCTATCAGCGTCGTTTAAAGTTGTGCCGTTAAGTAACTTCAAAAGTCAAAAAAGATAGCAAACTTCAAAGCAACGCTGTCAGTTCTCATGTTGCATAATGAGCTTAATGTTTGCAAAAATATCACTTGTTGTTGCCAGTTTCTCTTGTTAACGTTTTTGGATTAAATCTCATTTTTTGTTGTTTTCTTCCACCACTTTAAAAATCTCTATCTTTAACTGTGACGTCAACATTTAATATAATACCCGTTTTAGAAACGCTGTTTGTAAAGCTTCAGGGTTTGATAGAGGTACAATTCAATTAGGTTACATAAAAAGACAGAGATTAGAAAGCGCAACTGGCTGAAAAAACGTTTATGTATATTTAGAACTTAATAGCCCTAACATTGAAAAAGGTGTTTTTTACAACCGCTAACAGTCGTTAACGTTTAATCTATTGAAAAAGATCTACTTTTTAAACTTTTTATTTTCTTCCTTTTCTTTTCCTTTCTTTTCCTTTTTATTTTTTTAATTTTACGATAGTCTTTTTTTTATTGGGATGCTGTCGTGCAGGCTAGTAAGAATTCATAACTTTTGGGGAAAAGGCAATACGAAATACGTGATAAAGAATTAACTTCGCGGAAACTTTGTCGTTCAAATTTTGATTATTAGCTATATGTGTCCTGAAACAGAAAAAATATGAACAAAAAGGAACGGCTTTGAATATGTTATCATTATATATCAGAGAAGTGTCTGTACCAATTGAAAAACTGTCTCAAGAAATTCGTTCGCTCTTTTCTGTTTTCTTAGCAATAACTTTTTAGTTTATTAACAACGATTTCAGCTGTTTTATACCTTCCTCTTTTTCTATTCATTGTTTGCGCTTCTAATTTATGTCTTACCTGGATTTCTATTCTGAAGAATTGTGGTATCTGAATATACCTGTTTTATAACACACTTATTTCAGAAGACGAAAAAAATTACTAAACTAAATAAAATTTAAGAAAGAAAGATAAGGAACGACATTTGACCAAGTCGAGATACTAAATAACATCTAGTACACACAGTTTTAATGCATATCTATTAAAAATTCTGAAAACCTTTACTTATACCATTACTTTAAACTTAAATGTTGACGATAAATACTCTGTTTTACGAAATGTGGTAAGGAACGCAACATTCGAATATTAAGAGAATTGTTTGGACGCCAACGGATTAAGCACTGTTTAAAGAAAGCATTTAAGGATAAGGCTGATTAGGAAAATAATTTTAGGAGGTTATTTAAAATTTTTTTCAAACTTTGAGATTTTGCAATCTTGTCATAAAAGAAAGACCATTTTAATACTATTATTACTGTAACACTCAACAAGCGCATATATGTCTTCTGAATAAAAATCCCTTCTCACAGCTTTGTATAACATTAATCAATGTTTTGAACATTCGATCTAAAGCTATTCATTTCACACAACATTTATGGAATTTATTAATTTCTTTGTTTGACTCAAAGCATTCGTACGACAGTCGTTTGAAAGCAAAAACACTCTTTCCTCACTATTTTCACAAAATTCAGGAAAAACTAAATTTTCATTTGCGGTCTCTGAGTCTAAGTGAGACCAGATGACGGAATTGCGTTAAAAATGTTCTGAACCACGCATTAAAGTCCCTCAGCAGAAAGTTCCTCACAAAGTGCACTCGAGTTATGTTACAAAGGAAATTTACAGTAAAAATCATCTTTCAGACATATCAATACCATTTAATTTTTTCAACAGCAGATTGTAACATAAAATTCTTTAGAAAGTTTATCACACAAGTAAGCAAATTAAAGAAAAAAAATGGATTAAAACATTCACGTTTTCCTTCAAATGATATTGTATTGTACAATGTTATATC